ATATATATATATATATATATATATATATATATATATATATATATATATATATATATATATATATATATATATATATATATATATATATATATATATATATATATATATATATATATATATATATATATGATGTTCCCCTTATGTATGTTGAAGCAAAAACGATGCTATGGTGCAAACAATCGAAAACTTTTTTTTTTTATTTTCGTAGTATGAATTCTGTTCAAAGCGTGAAAGAGAAAAGACAGGGATTCTAATGAATTAGAAATTGATAACTTTTATTTGCTTCAAGGAATAATTCCAGTTGTGATCAAACGAGGTTTTCCAACATGCAAACATGTCTTTTGCATTCTGTTTGTTTAAATCAACAAATGCGATATTCATTTAATGGGTAGTATCACGGAGCAATTTAAGCGTTAATCCATTAAATATTCATTTAATAAACTAACGCCTAAGTTGCTATCCAACAAGATGAAATGTCCGTAGTGATTATCTTAATTAAATAAATCATCAATGTGTATATTTGAGTTGCATTGAACGGATCAAATAATGGTAATAATCTAATGCAAATAATTTAAATCTTCCAAAACGAATCATATGTGAATGATTTAAATCACTGTCTATAATCAGCTGTTTAAATCAGTGAAAAAATAAATAAAACCCGTATACAATGTATCATAATGGCGCAATTGGAGTATAAGAAGAAATATTATCATACTTTAACCCAACAACAACTCTCTATTGTTATGAAATTGTTTTAACTATTATTTTAAAATCGAAAAATTCTGATCACAGTTCTTAGCAAATTTAAAAGCAATCAGGAAGGCTTCCATAGCCGTTTTACTTATTCCTTCCATACATAAGAAATCGCTAGATGAATGGAAAAAGAAAAGTTCACAAAAGTTATATTTATTTACAAAATATAAACGACGAACAATTAGGCGCCAATCTTTGCTCAACACAACAATAACAGAAATAGAATCAATTTTCTTGAAAAAATTCTTGAAACTAAAATGTAAACTCCTCGAACTGAGCAAATGTTGAAGATGTATCGTTGAAATTAAAGCTAAAACGTGTAAAAAAAAGAAAAGAAAAATATTGACAAGAAAAAAAATGTTGACAATTCTCCCTGTAAGCCAGCATACACATTTTAAAGATTGAAAAAGTATACGTGTATTGAAAAATCTTGTTCAAGTCATAAAATATGAAGGAAATGAATGAAGATGAAGTTACAAAAACAATCAAGGATATAAGCACAACTTTTCTTTTTTCGTTATACAGATACCTCACAAATATGGAAGATACCAGTGGATACACGAAAAAAAGAAAAAGAAGTGTTAGATAATACAACAAGAGAAAGATTTACTGGATATGAAATTTGAGCCTAAGTAAATTTTTTTAATATCGAACAATGATTAACGTAATTTATTCCTTCGCAATTTGCATATTTTTCAAAATAAATAATCTGCTTACTTGTTTGACCCAAGTGCACTTATGTAACAATACTTTTTAATACGAATTTTTCACTAATCAATTATTCCTTTAAAAACAACACTTTCTTATCTCAACGCTAGCTTCATTATTCACTTCATATTTTCAGATGCATTAAATGACCACATTATAAAATTTCAATCAGTTGGTTCTAACTGATCCGTAAAATAATCCAAGTTATGAACTAGCCACTAAAAAATTTGAATCCAACAATTATGTCCTGCAATTTAGAAAGAAGTTCCTAAATTTCCCCTGTTCAAATTCTTCGAAAAGGAAACCAACATCACTGTGTTTTAAATAGACATCTATTCAAATACGCTCTTATATATCAAAAGGCTATGCGTTTAAACGGGTCATTTATCAAATTTAATACCAATTACTAATTTCATTTCTTCACAAGCACATGGCAAAAGTCTATAGAATGTTTCCTCTTTCGCAACAGATCATTCATTCAAATTATAGAACATTCCATAAAATAATGGAAACATTTAAAGGGAATCAATTTTGCTAAAAATCAAAAGCAGAAATGAGATTTCACTTATATAAAGGATTTGCACACACAGACATACACAGAGACTTATATATATATATATATATATATATATATATACATAT